TAAATCTGAGTCTCCCATCGTGAGTCTTCATCCCTGGGGATTTCAGTCTACAGCTAAGAAGGAACAGGACCATAATGTGTAGAAACACATTTCTCCAAATTGCGTTCACTGAAAGTACCACTTCAGCACTGAGAGCAACCAGGAATGCATAATCATACTCATTGGTTATGCTTCAAAATTGGCCCTGTGAAAAATATGAAGAAAATGACATTTGCTTAGGAGCTTTTTCCCCCAGAAAGGATATTTAAAAAGAATGTTTTGTACAACTGATCTGATAAATTTTTATTGGATCATTTTAATTTTTCTCTCCTCCCTAGCAGAGTGTGGGTTTTATTTTCTTTTTCTCCAGCACAGCTTACTGCACAGTCAGCCACAGTTTACCAGCATATTTCCCCCAAATACTACATATAAGTTGGGGTACCTCATTTGTTTCTGGAAGCACCCGTGGGTGACATTTTAAAAAGAACTTCTCATCACCCCTCTTATGGAAGGTGTGAAGAAGCGTGTGGGACCAGGAGCGCACAATCAGATTATTTATGGTGGGTGCTAAGGATGGGACACCACATCACAGACACCCTTCTTTTTTTAGAGGGTCTCTCTGTGTACCCAGGATGGCCTCAAACTCCAGATCCTCCTGTCTCAACCCTCTCGAGCACTACTAGAATTGAAGGGGTGCATTACCACACCTAGCTGGAAGCAGACATTTCTTGTTCTATTCAAACAGCAAAGAAACCAACTGCCTTCAACAAAGATCAAACAGAATTGATTCTAAAATTTTTCTCCGCAGACATATATATGATTGATCTAGAGATCCATGGCCTAGAATTCATCGTCAAGCCCTCATGATGCTGGAGGCCCTGCGGTCTCCCTGTTCCAATGGCATGTTAGTAGCAGGTAGGGTTCTCAGGGCACAGGGCAACACTGTCCACAAGACAACTTCTGTCTGTGGTCAGGGCATTCCAGAGCCATTTATTTCTTCACTCAGTGAAATGATTTCATTTGGCCTTTTCTTGAGACAACAAGCAAGTTGCATGGGAAACAGTCCTTAGAAGCAAGGTCCTAGAGCTTATGGACAAACTTTGACTTTTGATGGTTTCGCGTAAGGCCAATGTGGCCAAATCTGCCCTGCTGAGGTCAGCTAGAATGAGGTAGCTGAGGGCATACAGGGCAGAGCTACCGGCTCCTTTGTTATTTCTGAAACCTGAACTGCTTTTAGAAAGAAAGGCTGGAATGTTCCATAGGAACTCAGAGCATGGGACGGAGGAGCATGGTGCACACTCGGTGTGGGCTATTTAAAACCAGTCCCCTGGCTTCCCTCTGTGATTCTAAATAGGTGAAATCACATTACCCCGCAGCAGCCGGTAACTATTTCCATGACACTGCCCAGAGTCTGTGCTCAGTGTGACTGGGTCCACCCAGTGAAAACAAAGTAGACTGTAGTCCGGGCGCTCAATGTCCAGCTAGTGTCTACCTAGTGTCAGAGTGACAGACACTGGGGGATCAGTGTCCAGCTAGTGTCTACCTAGTGTCAGAGTGACAGACACTGGGGTACTGAGAATGCTGGAAATTTAAAGGCTGATCTATTGAACTATCCCAGGAAGAGGCAGGTGCCTTAGCACATTAAAAACAAACAAACAAATATTTATTTACATGACCAATAAACAGCATAAGTAGAGCTGATCACTTTCTCAGGACCAGCACAGACTTATAGACATTGCCCCTCTGTGTCTTAAAAAGAAAAAAAAAACCCTCCTAAAATTATTTTCTTTGACATGTTAACACTTCCTTTAATCAAACAGAGAAACCCATAGGAATTCTGAACTTAACTGGCAATCGCTCAAAGGCACTAGCCAGGGCAAGGACATTAATGAACCTTGTTATATAATGTCAAAACACCCGATAAGTTTGTAAAGGTAATGGAACAGTCAGGCCAGTGTTGGGATTTCCTGCAGACCACACGAGATATTAAGGAACTTTTAACATTTTATCTTGATGCAAAAAATTTAAAGCTGTAGCACTTATAAAACATGCACGACTTTACCACATCTAAAGCTGCGTGTGGTGGTTCCCACCTTAGATCCCTGGCAGTGCAGAGGTAGAGGGAGGAAGAGCAGAAGCTGACAGCCAGCCAGTCAAAGTCGGCATGAATTATGTGAGACCCTTTCTTAAAAATAAAAAAAAAAGTTTTATATACTTAAATTTCTCGCCAATTACAGCACTACAAAATATGTCCTATAACTTCCATTTTGTAGCTAAGGAAGCTGAGGGAAGGGGACAGTCAGTCTGCACAAGACTACATAAAAGTTCCAAAGAATGGTGGGCTGAGATTAGTGGCATGAAATTTGAACCCAGGATTCTCGGATTTCAAATGTACACTGTTTGCCTACGTCTAAATAAGCTCAACGAAATGGCTAAGCAGGGAAACAAATACAAATCTAGAAAGCAAATAAATCAAAGTTTGCACAGTTAAGGTACCTCAAATTCAGTGTATTGACAACTGACTCTACCTTGGAAGTGTCTATCTGCCAACCCAAAATTGATTCTGCGGCATGGAAGACCCCTTGACCCTCATGTGATACCCTATTAAGAACTAGAGTCCAATTGCCAAACATTACACATCAGAACAAATTATACATATTTCATTACGCCTGTGAAGAGATCTGATTTCCTAGTCCAAGGCTATTTTTGAATATTTTCAGGCATGGACGGAATATGTGGTTCCCTTGTGGCCAACTCAAAACACAGAGCATGGAGTACTGCTGTATTAAGATCATCTTTCCCTCACTGTGAGGGGACTGGTGATAAATTAGATGAGATTAGAAAGCAGTCTCTGGAGAATTAGTATTTTAAGGAATTACCTAGAAGGAACCAATGGTGTTTTTCCCCCTTCTCGTTCTCCCCACATGGTAAATCATACAGAGGAGCAGGCTGCCCCAGATCCCCAGGAAACAACATCTTGAGTGCATATGTTATGGGCTCTGCATTGACAAATCCAAGAACTCCAGCGCAAAATGACCAAAGTTCCCAAGTTAAAAATGAAAGCAATTGCATGAAAATTGGTAATCTTGTGGCGACATCCCAACAACTTCATAAACAGCCATTAAAGAAGACAGTGTTACAGGTTAGAGAATTTAACCTGTGCGAGAATCAACCTGCATTGTGGGTGTGAAGTTACAAACAGCCCCATCTACCTCCCACCTCACTGATAGTCTCCCCCTTTTCAGAAGCATCACCACATTCAACAGAAATAATATTAAGCTTATTTAACGAGAAGGCTAATCCAACTATATGCCATATTAAAAAGAGTCGTGATATAAATATTTCTCACAAGAGCTGCAGCGATGGTGTGAATAAAAAACTCCCTTCTGAGATTTCAGTAAAGCCAGATCTCACAAAGGATCTGAAAGAAAACAGAACACACACACACAAACAAACAGACACACACACAAAGAGACACACACAGAGAGAACAGACCTTATGTTAATCCGATTGATCACAACAGTTGCTGTTTCCACAGTATTTTATAAAGTAGGATTCTCTTCCTTCCCAGATGAAGCAAGAGAGAGATCAGCTGCTCCAGGTACCTCAGAATGATGTTTAGGGTGGGGGCTAGCTAAGCGTGCTTGGTAGCAGCTTATGGAAATCACAAATTTTAAAGACAGCAAAATCTTAGTGCTGTCAAATGGCCAAGCATGCAAGAGGAATCTCTCGCTCGCTCGCTCCATGCCCCCCTCTCAGAATACATACAAACCCCCAAATCCGCCAGCTGGAATTTTTTTCAATTGTAAATTAGATATCAAAATGCTTACGGGCCTTACAGGGAGATAACGTCAGGAGGAACGGTGCGCGGAATGGACCTGGCATTCTCACATAGAGCGTTATCTTTGGTACAAGTACACACGGCAGGGCATTTTGGCTTCGCTGGTTTCTTCCCCTCAGTCAGCAACACCACAGAAAAGAGGCATAGGAAATAAGCAATTCTTTTCAGGGGGATGCAGGCATTTCCCATCCTTCTGCTTCTTTCTGATTCCATGCAGTCGAGAAAATCTCCCCACACATGAACAGGGCTTCTGGAATTCTGCTGCGGATTGTCTCGCTCTAGGAACAGGTCACACGGGAGTCCACCCTTCTCTGCCTCTGTATCTGCTTTTTCAAAACAGGGACCTCCAGCTGATTCGTGAGCTGTTCCTCGCTCAGGCAGAGCACTGCTCGGGGGAAGAGACCTGTGAGGTGCTGCGAGATGGGAGCGAGCCAACTGCTGGAGGAAGAGAGCCGGCTCGCATCACAGAAAACAGTCAGCACAGACCAGTCTTCGAAGGCAAATGAAGTGATGTAACAGAAAATAAACAGCTTTCTGCTTTCACCGGGAGGCCCTTTAATTGTTACCAAAAATAGGACAGCATTATGTCTTATTAGTGGGTGGGTGGGCGGGCGGTGGAGCAGTCATCCCAGCATAGGATGTGGGCAATCTGGGGAACCTCTGGGAATTTGCTTTTCACGTAGCAAACAACCTCGTAAGAAAACCTAGCTTGGGGGCCAGTCTTGGCTGGGGAAAGGGAGTTAAATGAAACTCCGTCTGCAGCTAAAACCGTTCCTCGCAGAGTCCACCTGGCTGATGCCACTGTTGAAAGATCAACCCGAACACATGGAGACTGTCACTTGCAGAGGAATGCATGTGAGTGCATACTTTCCTGACACTCATCAACTAGGATGAATTATTATTTTTTTTCATAATCCCCCACCACCATACACAGCCTGCTTCTCCTTGCATGGTGAGGGAGGTGACAGAATTGTAAACCATCTCTGTGTATAATCCATTCTCCTCCCTGCTTGCTCTGTCCTTTAGGCAGAGTTTGTTCCAAAAGGCTGGGACGAACTCCCTGCCAGCAGGAGGCAGCCAACTCCAGCTTCCTGGGGCTTTGAAAAGGGGCCTGGCTCACCCAGCCGACTGTGGTAAAGTGTGGGGAATGCAGGAGTAAGCAGGAAAGCAGGCTCTGAGAGCTCAGGTCATTTGGAAGCTAGCTGATGTCACAGATAGCAGAGCTAGCACGTCTGTGAAATGGGGATGCTAGGGTAGATGGGCTTGTCATGGCTAAGAATCAAACAAAACCACAGGCTCTTCCCAGCATACATCTCAGGAAAGAGGACACTCCCTTGGAAGAGGAAATTGGCTTAATGACAAAATTAGGATGACCTGGCCTTGATGTGGGGTTGTCCAATCCAAAAGGGTGAGAAGATCCTTAGGACAGCGGAAGAGAAGGTCTTCACCACTCTGATGACAGCCATCCCTCAAGGTGGCCACCCACTCTGGTATGTAAGGCATGGCTCTTCCTCTTCTGGCTTCTTTTTTGTTTGTTTGTTTGTTTTGTTTTAAGTTATTTTTGAGACAGGGTTTCTCTGTAGCTTTGAAGCCTGTCCTGAAACTAGCTCTTGTAGACCACCAGGTTGGCCTCGAACTCATAGAGATCCACCTGCCTCTGCCTCCTAAGTGCTAGGATTAAAGGTGTGTGCCACCACTGCCTGGCTCTTTTCTGGCTTCTTAAACCGAACATATGAAAAGGATTGTTCGTGTACCTGTACCATTATGAAACAAACTCCACCCTTACCAGAGGTCCATGTATTGCCGTTCTCTCCCATCTTGACCCTAGGCTAACTCCAGTGACTTCTTTTGTTTGTAGCCTGTGCTGATCTTGAACTTTCATTCTGTCTCCACCTCCCGAGATGTGGGCTTGCAGGTAGGTGCCACCACCCCGGGCTCAATTGTTCCTTTAACTCATTGGCTTTGTGAGAAGAGCGTGGCCGTCCTGCTCACTGTCTTGTTGGATTGCCGGGTGATGGTGGTGATGATGGTGATGATGATCCCATAGGATGGAAAGCTCCATGGAAAACACTCCAAACAGTGTTAGCACAGAGGGGACTGCATTGGTCAAACAATGAATGACAGGAGGGAGGAGGGACCCGTGTGGGCAAAGCCTGGGCTGCTCTGAACAGCTGGACGATGCTTATGTGGGTTTAAGCAGTAATTTTTTTCCTGGTGCATGTTTCCAAAAGACCATCTCAGAGAAGCCCTGGCTTTAAAATGGACTGTAGTACTGTTTCACTGTAGACTGCGCGGGAAAGGACGCAAGAGACTGTTCTTAGAAACCCGGGCCCGCGGGCGAGCCTCAATTAAGCAGTAATTGTCACTTAAACGTTGGCCACAGGTCGAATTTATTTTTTTAATTGAATTCTTCTGCAAGTGCATGATGGGATCTCTCTCTATAATGTGATTACACTGTGAAATTTTGTGCAGACTCATTTTATTCAGACAGCTGCCCTCTTGAGTCCCTAATTTCTAATAAGTGTGGTAACTCCAAAACAACGCCCTCAAAGACATTCAGGGATCTTGGATTCAATCCCTTGGATCTGGATGGGGACACTGAGGTACTGAGCCGCCATATAGACACCTATTGACAGAGCCACTACCCTGCATGGGGCAAAGCAAACGACAAATATTTGGGTCAAACAATCAAGGTAGCCAAACAGGATATCTGCTCCCTCACATTCGCTCTCAAATAAAACTGATTATCAAGACCGAAAAGCCTTTGGCTTGGGGCTGCTGGACAGCCACACAGTCTTTCTTGTTTGGTTATGGCAAAAAGCTAGGAGGATGATGAATGAAAGCAAGAAACTATATCCCTACCATTCACTTGCAGCTGCTCAGCTCAGTTTGCCAGTTCAAGCAGAGAAAGAAACATAGGGTGGGGGTTGGGGGGCGCACTAAGTACCATTTACAATGGATGTTTTGAAAAGACAGTAACTTTTTCTTTTTGGATGGCATTTAAAGCCCAGACTTGAATTCCTTATTCAATTAAAACGCCCACCAAGATCAGGCACAGTTTAAACCATGCTATGCAGGATGCTGACAGCCTTTCTGGGAATAGGCTCCAGAAATGAATCTGAGGAAGGGCTTAGCAAATCTGTAGAGACTTGAGGTCAGACAAGAGACCACACCGCTGGTGATGCCTCCCATCCTACCCTCCTGGGAAGCTCCCGGAGAGTGCAGAGCAGATGGCCACGTGGAAATGCGGTGCTAGAGAAGACTGGTAGCCCACCTGTGCACCGTGGTGGCCTTTGGGAGGGAGGTCTCCAAGAGGTGAAAGCAGAGCTGGCAGGTGGCCCGGGGAGGTGAAAGGCCCAGGTGAAACAGTCTGAGCTGCAGAGCAGCAACTGAGGAGAATCTAAGGCTGCCACTGCAACACAACAGCAGTGTGACCACGGACCTACTTGATGGGGACAGTCAGGGTACATAGCACAGAGAGTTACTGAGAGAACTGAGTGAGATCACATATCTAAATGCGTGGTGTTGATCTGATACATAAGTAGGATTCATCATCATCGAAACGAAACGTAACTTCTGATCATGTGACTCTCAGTACTTAGAAAGCAAGGTTTTCATATAAATCTGAGGCCAGTTGATGACGATAGTCACTCTAGGAAGCTGACACTTCTCTCAGATGGCAGGTTGATGACTCTTAATGGTGGCATTAAGAGTCTAATCACAGGAAGGAACCTGTGGAAGTCTAACCAAAAGGAACTAAAAGGAACCCACCAGTCTGGTGAGAGCTACCACACCTAGAGTTGACCTAGACAGGAGAAAGAGAAACTTGAGAAAGAGAAGGGTACAGAGAAGTGGTTGGGTGGGGGGGGTCTTCTTCCTAACCCATGCTCTTGAACATGTGTGGGCTGAAGGTGAGAGGGCTCTGTGCTGAGATACTTGTACCAAGGGGTTTCCTCTAGTCAGAGGCACCACAGTAGTGGATGTGAGCCCCTGAAACCACTGCACTGCGTGGAGGTGCCAGGCGGCTATGGAGACACGAGGCAAATAGCGTCTTTATCTGGGCCAAGGCTGAGGTGTCACCAGTCACCGGATTCTTTTCTCTGGGAGCAGCTAGGTCAGCCTTGGTGGCCCAAGCCCCACAGCCATGGGAGGAATTGGCAAACCAACCCAGCTGAAAGCCAGAGCCAAAGAGAAGGACGCCACAAAAGGTTTGGGAGCACGGGTGCGGCGTTCCCCGGCCATCCTCAGAATGACTGAAGTGGGTCCCGGGAGTGTGCTGGCGATCTAGAAGAGCTGACGAAAGCACAGCAGAAAGGAACAGCCTGTGCTGTGGGTAGGACCCCAGTTTTCCCCTCAGCCTGGCGTGGCCTAGGAAACCCCACATTAACTGGGGTAAACAAATCATTAGGAGCCTTCAAGAATCAGGCCTGGCCCCACCTCCTTCTGCAAACGCTGGACTAGCAAGTCAGTGTTATTTTAAACAGCTTCCTTACCGAACCAGGGGTTTTGAAGCTGAGCATCAGAAGCAGTAGTTAGCTGGGAAATCAACCTGATGCAGATTTTGAAAGTACATGATTCTGCATACAAATTGCAGTGAATAGCTCTCATAAGGGTAACTTGCCTCCTGAATTAGTGTGTGTGAGTCCATCATGCTAATATGAATTTTGTTTCTTATAAGTGGCTTAAAAGTGGAGAGAAAGAATGCGGGGAAGGAACGAGGGAAAGAGATACCCCCTTTCCCTCAACAACAACAACAACATATCAGAACATGCTAAGGATCTTTGGCCGCCCCAGGGTCTGTGAAGCAGCAGGAGCATGCCCCAGTAAGCTTCACTTGTGGACGGAAAGCAGAAATTGAACCTGATGAAGTATTGCTTCTAATACTTACTAGCTATGTGACTTTGAGCACATTGCTTATCTCCTCTGTGCCTCATTTTCTACATTGATCAGGTCAAAATAATACTATGTTTGCATGATTAGCATTAAAACAGACTATGATGTGTGTGTGATGAAGGCAGGCTTCTGCCAGAATTACATAGGAATTGGGGTAGTAAGGGTGGCTAGTGGACAGGCCAATCTCTGTGGGGATTTAGGAGTAGTACCATTTAGGACTCTTTGGTAGCAAGTGAGAGACTCAGCTGCCACCTCTGCCAACCTAAGCATACAGGAACCTGTTTCCATGGTGATAGAATGCCTCTAGAATCCAAGAAAGGGTTGGTCAAGCAGGGTTTTGAGATAGAAAAACTTGTGAGAGCTTAGGGACCGTGGTGGCATTTCAGATGAGTCCTTATTCTCATGCGTCTCCTCAAAGGAGTCTGAAGACCGAGCTAGTGTCAGGTACCCATCATCCATTTGTCATGAAAAAACAAGCCTCTTGACTGGCATTCCCACGGAGGTGTGTGATAGGAGAGGGAGGGGTTCTGATGGAAAGTTTGGTGCTGCCCCTAGAGGCACAGGAATGCACACCAGGCAGGCGAAACCAAGGAGCATGTACCATGGCGCCAGGGTCTGCTAGCTAATGTTCACCTTTTCTCTGTTCTGTCACACCACACCCAACTCCACCGTTTAACAGAAAAAAGATCAGAAGACAGTCTGGACAAACAGCTGTGGATCATTTCTCAAGGACAGCTAAGTTTGGTCTTCTAATGATAGAATCAGCGGAGTTTTGTTTCCTCTGGTCCAAGAGAATAAAGCTTGGCCCAAGAGGGGAGGTGAGAAACAATAAAAATGAAACCAGAGGCTTATATAATGCCCACTACATGGCAACTGGCATTCTAATGCACAGTCCACCTACGAACTCACAACAATTCCGTGCGCTGGGTGTTGCTGTTATTCCCATCCCCATTGTTTCCAGAAAGGACTATCATTGTTTACCCTATACTCACAGGAAAGAAGTACAGGAGGGAAGAAACTTGACTGGGGCCCTGTAGCTAGTGACACGGGTGTTGGGCTCTAACCTGGGATTTCCGACCCTGATATCCATGGTACTTGTTGCCTCTCTGATGAGCCATGGGGGAGTGGGATATACTGTGTACTGCTTTGGAGGAGTACAGTACCAGCACCTTAAGACATTGCCATGGAACTACAACTCCCAGCATGCAGCTGAGCTAGCTATTATTTTAACTCCTTCTTTACCAAAAGTTCCTCACTGTCTTGTGTAAAATTATTTATTTTTCAATGACAAGATCCAACCTCTTTATGGAATGATTGTGCAATTACATGGATGTAGACTAAGAGGCAGTAGATGGTGGAATGGGTGAGCTTCTAGGTTAAAGTACCTTCTGCATTTCTAGTGTCTAAAAGAGAAGATTGAAGACTTGACACAATAAAGATTCATAAGCTTAGACATCTACACTGTGAAAACTCAATGTGGTCCTCATACTCGGTTGATCTTTGAAGTTACAGGAGGAACTTTTAAAGCCCATGATGCATCTGCCACATAGAGGTTATGATTTATCTGTTATTATTGTTGTTTTGGGACAGGGTTTCT